TCAGAATCAACAACTCGCGTTTAGAGTATTTGGCTGCTTTACGTTTCAACACGACAAGCCACTTCGTTAAGCTATCGTTTGAGACCAGGTCGCTTTTGAAAAAGAGTTACATACAGTAGCTCAGTAGGCCTTCTCTGGTAAAACAACAACAAAATACAAATATAGTTTAAATCGTTAAAAAAAACCTGGTGGTCGGGTAACGCGTGGAGCTTTCAATTTGCAGCATCTGTCGTGGACTACTGCGTGGGCATACCCAGAAGCGCGCACATCTCCCTGGGCAGTTAAGCAAAGTAAGTAAATTGGTGCTTTCGGGGCAGGACAGGGCACTCGAAGGGTTAAAGACCGATCGTCACGAAGGGCGCTGGTGGAGGCGGACAAGGGGATGCCCCCCAGACGAGATTGAGCGATGGGAATCAGCTCGTGTGCAACTGCGTAGGTCGGATTGTTGCATATCACGGGGTGGCGAGGGAGAGTGATGGATGTGAGGGGTGGGGTACGGGGCTGGGGGCGGCTTTCACTCCAGCAGTGGATTGAGCTCGGCTGCTGATTTCACCACAGACCCCCCAACGCTGATATTTTGGGCTTAAATCCAGACAGACGTGTAATGCTTAAGCCAAAAGTTCTCAAGCGATTAGTGGTGTAATTATGCATAACCCTACGTGATTACTTCATGCATTTACGGATTAATCTCACAATACATGAATTCCGTGCCAGAATCGGCGCTATTTGAGTCGTGCGCGCCGTGTGTGACGGGGCTCACGCGACCCCCCCCCCCCCCCGGCAGCCACTAGAGCAATGAAAATAAAAATGCATAAAAAAAGAAGAGAATCGTTTCTCGGACGGAAGCGTGACGAATTAATAGAAATAATGTAATCGAAATAATGTAATCGAAATAATTTAATCGAAAATTAATCGAAATAATTTAATCGAAATAAATCAATCGAGAGAACGAATCGCTATTTCGCAAAACGGTGGTCTCAGCCTGGGCTCCAAATGTCTTCTGGGCACAGAAAAAAACGAGTGCAAACGAAGCAGACTTTAAAGTCATGCAGAGACCCGGCAGCGTTTGTGTGGGCAAAAACCTCTGGACCGGGGTTTTTAAACTTGAGAGTCAGATTCTGTTCAAACAAATCCTCTGCCAGGTTTTCGACGTTTGCACTATCATCACTTTGATGCCCTTTCATGACAGGCGTGTCATATAATTAGATAGAATAAAATGTAACATGCAGGACGCGCCATTCATAGACACCCCACTGAAATAATCAGGATAAGTGAAAGATTATACAATATTTGACTTCAAAGCCCTCTCCCACACATCTCCCGCCAATCTCAATCAACTCGTTAAACCCTTCACTGCCACCCGTCCTCCTCTGTTAAAAACGGAGTCACCGCTGTAGACAATATTCAATCACCTGTTGTAAAGTAAAGAGGGACATTTGCCATCAAGTGCGTGCGTCACCTGTAAATGTATGTCAGAGACTGCCGGTAGTGTCCCTGTGATGTACGACCCGGTGACTACTCCAGCGACTCAATGCCCGATTCGCAAACACGACGATGAGCCACTCAATCCAACAGCGGATTGACCGTGGCGATGGATACATGTGTAATGACAGGGTGCCACCTGTCGGTCTGAAGGGGTAATCGCGGTCATGGACAAGTTACGCAATAAATTTCAATTTAAAGCTTTCGTGACTGCAGGGATTCATCTTCTTGGTTCTTTCGGCGAAGTCACGTAGAAAGAAAATAATAAAAGAATAAAAATAAACATAATAAAATAATTCTCACGACGTTTCGGCCACAACGCAAGTAGCCGTCCTCAGGTAGAGAGCAGGTCTGTCGAGAAGAGTCTGACTTGCGTTGTGGCCGAAACGTCGTGAGAATTATTTTATTATGTTTTATTTTTATTATTTTATTATTTCCATTCAACGTGACTTCACCAAAAGAACCAAGAAGAAGTTACGTAATGTCTAATTATGAGGGGGGGGGGCGTGGTTGGGGTAAAGGTGAAAGGCGGAGTCAGTCAGGAAGCTCCGGGAACCTGCTAGAAGGTTCTAGAAGGGGGCGTGTCCGGAGGCGGGGCTTGGCCGCGCCAGGGTGTATATAAGGGGGACCGAATCAGAAGATTGGTGCTGTTGCGGGGTCCTGGCTCCTGGCTGCATCGCTGCTCGTCGTTATCTCTCTTTGTCGTCCGGCCACGTGGTCGATCTTCTGCAAGGCTGTCATCGCCGCCGTCGCTGCGTGAGTCACACAGCTGCATAGTTGGACGCCGACGCTGGGGTTGTGTAGAAGGGTCGGCTCTGTGTAGCTACGTAGAACACCACATCGATGTATCGCCCAGTGTTGTGCTTCAAGTGTGAGAATAAATAAGAAGCCTTCTCTGGGAAATCGCTCACTACACATGGATCACCTTGCATTTCTATCGACTGCCGGTAGTGTCTCTGTGATGTCGGACCCGGTGACTACTCCAGTGACTTCAACGCCCGATTCGCGCCACTCCCGCTGCTGCCGACGCGATGCGCTCGCTGGGACGCAACAATCCACTCGAAGCGAATTGCACACCAGCTCAGCTCATTTGATCACTCCACCTTTTCTGAGAGGCATCCGCCCCCCATTTGGCTGCTTCCGCCCGCTCTTCGTGACCAACCAGCTTCGGTGTAAACACAACGGCCGTTGCTCTCCATCCACACACCGGCCCGTCTGAAAGGAGACTCCCAGAGGACCCTCATGGGTCAGAATCAGAATCTTTAATCGTCCCGGAGAAATACAAATCCTACGAAACGTAAAGATTTTTTTTGCGTCAACAATCATCCTCACCAACGTTTTGCAAACAGCCGCGCAGTTATCGACCATCGATGAACCCGCCATCGATTTGAATGATGACTCTTGTCAAACGGGCAATCCAATCGTTCATCGAAGCACCAATTATGTACAATTTACCCCGCCCCCAAAAAAATGATATACACGGTACGTATCTGTTGAATTTAAGGTAATATGATTTATGGTGAAAGAACTACCGTGCAGACACCGCTATGCCTCACATCAAGTCGTCGTGAAGGTGTCCGATCTGGTCACATCTCACAAGATTTGTGCCGATGAGTGACCACCGCTGGGGCTTGCCAGGTGTTGTATTAAGCGCGGAGCCCCGCTCGGGAGTGGGGGGGGGGCGAATGAGGCGGTAGTTGCTGAGTGTGCGCGTGCCGTGAAGTCTGTGACCGGGTTGCCCAAACAACCCCAGCGTGGCGATGACAACAGAGAGAAAGAGAGAAAGATGGATGGATGCTATGGTTACTAACAGGTAATGCTGTTGCTACAGAGGTTGATTAACACCGGAATCGTTGACCGCTATTTACTCGTTCATCCTTACGAGACCAGCCGGAGGTTAATCACCTGAGACTACCTGATTATTAGCAAGATGCCGGTGGGAGGCAGTGAGAGAGAAATAAAAAATGAACGTTGACAATGGAAATCACGACATTGTTGCAATGGTCAAACGACGACATTTACAGCCGTGATACGAATCACAAATTCCGGAATGGTAAAAAAACAAACGCGGACACCGAGACTCGTGACTACACCGCCATCAAATTTCGATTTAAAGCTTTCGTGACTGCAGGGATTCAAATTCTTGGTTCTTTCAGTAAAGTCACGTAGAAGGGAAAACAATAAAATAATAAAAATAATGCAATGAAATTCTCACGACGTTTCGATTGCAACACAAGCAATCATCATCAGGTGTGAAAACCACAGAAAAAAAATTCTTGCTATGGTTTTATTTTTATTCTTTTTATTGTTTTCCCTTCTACGTGATTTTACCGAAAGAACCAAGAATATCCATCGTCAACACCGCAGACACCGAGACTTGTGACTCCACCGCCATCGTCAACACCGCGGACACCCAGACTCGAGACTATTGCCCGGGTCAGGATGCGTCAACGCGAGCGTCCATCACAACCCCCGCCGCCCACCCTCGTCTCGACCCCCCTCCCCTCCCCCCACCAACCATACCCCCCCCCCCCCCCCCCCGCGGAGACCACAGCAGCCGAGGTAACGGCGAGCGCTGAATCTTTGTCGACGCGAGACGAGGCCACTGCGCTAATTCCCCGCGAGTTAATAACGCGCTGAGCGCGGCGCGCGCCAACAGATTAATGGAACTAATGAATTCAAGCTGCGGTCATTTCGCACGCGCTCGCGCAACCCCCCCCCCCTCCCTTACACCCGCGACCACGATTTTGGAATGTGACGCTGGGAGGAGAGGGTGGGGTGGTTGGGGTGGGTGGGGTGGTTGGGGTGGGTGGGGTGGGTGGGGTGGATGGGGTGGTTGGGGTGGTTGGGGTGGGTAGGGTGGGCGGGGTGGGTGGGGTGGTTGGGGTGGTTGTGGTGGTTGAGGGTGGTTGGGGTGGTTGGGGTGGATTGGGTGGTTGGGGTGGGTGGGGTGGATGGGGTGGTTGGGGTGGTTGGGGTGGGTAGGGTGGGCGGGGTGGGTGGGGTGGTTGGGGTGGTTGTGGTGGTTGAGGGTGGTTGGGGTGGTTGGGGTGGATTGGGTGGTTGGGGTGGGTGGGGTGGTGGGGGTCGGTGGGTGGGGTGGGCACGGTGGTTGGAGGTGGGTGGGTAAGGAGGAAAGCGAATGGAACCCATAGTTCAGCGACCCCGTCTCCGCTTGTGATAAATAAATAAAAACACGTGTCTTGGGAATCCACGAGGCTTTTTAGGATTTAAAAAGAAGGAAAAAAAATTACGATTGTCGCTCTACAAAGTGGACTCCCTCCCAACAGCAGCACTCTTTGCTGATGCGAGTCGGGCCAGGATTTGTGCTGTAGGTCTCAGCAGGTTTTTGTGATAGGGGCCGTCCATAAATGACGTCACGCGATTTTGGAAGATTTTTTACCCCCCCCCCCCCCCTCGTCGCACGGCGTCACAAAAAGTCAGACCCCCCCTTCAAATATGACGTCACAAAGCTCTGCCCCCCCCCCCTCCCCAAATAAGACATGCTTCAAATCGCTTTAAACTATTGTCATTGTAGTGCGTATTTAATGTGCCGCTGCACTCTGATGTTGTAGGATAAAACATTTATTAAAAAGTCTATTTAATTAAGTCAAACGTGTTGTCTATATTCATTTAAAGTTGCGCATTTTGATGTAACGTCACATTTCTCAAACCCCTCTCCCCCTCGTCACACATCGTAACAAATGTCTGACCCCCCCCCCCCACCCCCTAGGTGCGTGACGTCATTTATGGACGGCCCCTTACCCATCCGCGCCGACTTTTGCCCAGGTCAAGGTCACGCTTGCGAACGCGTCTCTCCCTGTCCTCGTCTCGCGAGCTCCCGCCTGGTTCACCAGAACGCGCGTGGGGAGTCCAGTGGGTGATTCCTCACTCGCCACGCCGGGGTCGGTCGCCCCCCGGAGAATTCCCCTTTCCTCCCACAGCCCAAACAGTGGCCACAAAATAATGGCAATCCACGATCCTCGTGAAAAGGAGACTTGAGTGTTCGTGATGATTTCCCAGATTAATGCAGTTCTTTGTATTTACACGTGTAATATATTTTTAGTGTGCGTATGTTAAATCTTGACAAAAAGCTTTGGTGACTGCAGGAATTCATATTCTTTGGGTCTTTTGGTAAAGCCACGTAGATAGAAAAAAGTAATCAAAATAATAACAATATCACGACGTTTCGATCGCAACACAAGCAATCGTCATCAGGTGAAAAAAGAGTTGCGATTGCTTGTGTTGCGATCGAAAGGTCGTGATATCGTTATTATTTTGATTATTTTTTTATATCTTCGTGGCTTTACCGAAAGACCCAAAGAATATGTGTATATGTTGTCCACCTCTGCACGAGACACGGCGAAACAAACACAAATATGTCCCGTGAACAATCGAGACGTACTTTTTTTGCATTGCGCCCAGCACGACGGCGAGTTCGGAAGCGAGTAATTCAAATCAATCATGACATCGACAAAATCAGGACTTAGTTTCTGATGGGATCATTTGTTTCCAGAGACCCCTGAACATATAATTTCCAGAGCTTATTCCCCAACAGCTCCAGCTGACATTAAGCCCCTTATCATCATCATCGTGATCATGGGGTGCCGTGGTGGCGAGATGGCTAACACCCTCGCCTGATATCTAGGAGAGCATGGGTTCGATCCCAACCATGGCACCTGCATATTTGGAGTTTGCGTGTCTTTCTCTCCCCGTGGTCGCGTAGATTTTTCTCCGGGTCTTCTTGTTTTTCCATCCACATTTAGAATCGACAACACGCGTTTAGAGTATTTGTCTGCTATAAATGTCAACGTGATAAGCTACTTCGTTGAGCTATCATTTGTGGCTAGGTCGCTTTTGAAACGGAGCTATGTAGCTCAGTGGGCATTAGCTGGTTAAATAAAAAGTTTGTTTTCGTTAACACAGCTCCGTTGGAACAGCGGAACAGCGAGCGAGCGAGCAAGAGGCTCGCAATGGCAAGGGTTGCGAGTTTAACTCCCGCTTGAGTCGAGGGGTTGACTTCATCCCATCTCGGCCCATCCATCGTCCCGCCCCCAGGGGAGGGAGGTGGAAATCAATCAAAACAATCCACATGATAAGCCACGCTCTCATTTGTGCGAGCCACGTCGCTTCTGAAAAAGAGCTATACAGCTCAGTGGGCCTTACCTGGCAAAATGAAATTTAAAAAAAGTAGTGCAACAGTTTATTACAGCGATCATGAATCTGGCCGAGCCGTCACCCCTACAGCACCGTGTGCTCAAAGAGCACCACTTGGGGCCCGTCCTCCTCGAACAACCTCAGGAGCAGCGCGCGGTCCAGCTCCACGGTGCTGATGGGCATCGCGGGGGGCGCCGTCGGCGAACGAGGCCACGGCGGAGGCTCGGAGGTGCCGCACGAGGGTCGGTATCGCGGAGGCAGCGACCTCATCGAGCAGCGCGACGACTCCACGATGCCGCCGCCGCCGTCCCCGTCGCGCATCCTCAGCCGCCTCCAGAGCCGCGAGGCGGCCACGCCGGACGCGGCGCTGACGCAGAGCGACACGATGAGCAGACCGAGCACCGCGTTGAAGGCCGTGTCGACCTCGGCGGCGCGGCCGTCGCAGGGAGGCCCCGGACGAGGCGAGCGCCCCTCCGACTCCACCTGGGATCCCGTCGCCACCGACGACCCGGACGCGCCGTCAGGGCTGCGCTTCGAGGCGTACGACGTCGGGACGCGTCGCCCCTCGACGCGGCCGCGTGGAAGTTTCCGTGCGAGCGCGCTGACGTTTCTCGAGCGAAGCCGCGGTGCCGCGCTGGCGTGGAGAAGGGGCGAGGTGGGCGACTGCGAACGTGCCTCCACCTCTTCCACCTCCTCCTCTTTGCCCTCGGACTTTTGTGATCCCCGGACGTGGCAGTGGCCCAGCGACTCGCGCGGGACTCTGTCCAGGCGCTGGCCCCGCAGCCGCTCGGGAAACCGGCAGCGGACGTCGACGTGGGCGACCGCCGCTGTCGCCACCCAGAGCCGGAGGGGCAGCGCGCCGCAGTCGCAAAGCAAGGGGTTGTCGCTGAGCTGGAGTCGGGCGAGCGACGCGGAGGAGACGAACGGCTCGGGGGAGACGCGGGACAGCTGATTCGATGCGAGCGCGAGCACGCGCAAGGAGGCGGATGGGCCGGCGAGCAAGTCGTCGGTCAGCGCCGTCAGCGAGTTCCCATCGAGGTGGAGCTCCTCGAGTTTCACGAGGGGCCTGAGGACGTCGGCGCTGAGGGCCTTCAGGTGGTTCCTTCTCAGGTAAAGGCGCTCGGTGCTGCCCAGTCCGGCAAAGCCGTTCTCAGCTATCGCCAGCAACTGCATGTCGTCGAGGATGAGGTGCACCAGCTTGGAAAGTCCCTTGAAAGCGAAGGGATGTATCCGTGTGATGCGGTTGCCAGAAACGACCAGCCGGTTGAGGTTCTTGAGCCTCGCGAGGGCGCTCGACGGAATCTGGGTCAGGTTGTTATTGGCCAGGGAGAGACTGCGGAGATCCGATCGTGTGGCGAAGGCCGCGTCTGAGATGCTCGCGATGGAATTGTCGTCGAGGGTTAGCGTCGACAGCCTTCCCACGCCCGCAAAGAGCCCATCCCTCACGCCCGCCAGCAGGTTGTTCTGCAGCTGCAGGTGACGCAGCGAAGTCAACTCCAGAAACACATCCCTGGGCAAGACGTCGATGAGGTTATCGTGCAGCCGCAGGTCCTGGAGCTTGGCCAGCCCGCCGAACGTGCCAACGTCCAGCCTGCGCAGGCCGTTGCCGCCGAGCGAGAGACGGCGCAGGACACCGAGGCTGGAGAACGCCTTGGGCCGGAGGCGCGAGAGGCCGCAGTTGTCCAGCAGCAGCGCGGTGAGCCGGGGCAGCGCGCGCACGTCGGACGGCAGCACGCGCCGCAGCAGGCGGTTGCCGCTCAGCCGCAGCGCGGTGGTCGAGCGGGGCAAGTGCCTGGGGAAGGAGACGAGGCCCACGTCCTGGCAGGAGACGAGGCCTCCGCGGCAGTGGTGGCACGGCGCGGGGCACGGCTGGGCGGTGGCGCCCCGGAGGATGGCGCAGAGGACCGGGAGGATGACGAGGAGGAGGAGGAGGCGCGTCGCGGCTAGAGGGGCCGACGGCGCCGAAGCGACTCTGCCCCAGAGGAAGGAGCTCGACGCGCTCATGGTGCGCTCCGGGTAAATATTCACGATCGGATTTGTGTGGCAATCACGCGAGAGTGGAATGCATCTTGAACGGACGTGTCGCCAGCAACACGTGACGGTACCGAAATTGTAAATGTTGTGGGTTTTACTCTCCAACACACCGGCGTGACGAACGAGTAACTAATTGGCGTCTTGTTGACGAGACAGACCTTTGCTAACTGGCTGCGTCGTGTGGTGGCGGGTTAACGACACATTTCTATTTACGCGTTCTAACCGAACACAAAAGAAAAACGTTACTGTGCATAGGTATATACGTTCAACTTCTTTCGCACCGTACGTAGCCAAGCGCGCTAATCGGAGGCGCGAGGTGAATGGTGTTCTTCTCACCGTCGCGTTGAGCCTGTGGGTGCCTCTTCGTCGTCTGTCGGCAAGCGATGCGTCGAGTGGTGTCCAGTTCGCTCACTACATCGGGAGCCTTCTTCACTCCTCTTCCTCCAACGGAACGCACGCGACCAGTCAATAAAGGTGATGATGATGATGATATTCACAAACGCATTGCGTGTTCTAGGAAATGCAGAACCCAAGCGACAAGGTACGCGCGTCCATGAGCTGCAGCGAGGCGCGCTTATTGTGGGAAAAACCTTGGGTGAAGAGAAAATAATAATAAAGTTTCACGAGCAGCATCCTGCCGGGATTTCCTCTGCTAAAGGGAAGCTCTGACGCTCATCCGAAGTGAAATGTCGAGGTCCTCTTGCATTCTGGGTAGAACATCATCCCCCAGACCCCCCTGCCCCCCCCCCCCCCCACTCGCGTTCCATCTTCAGTGACCGCGCCACGGACCCCCTTGCCTGGGACGGGGTCACAAAGCCGCCGGGCGTGCGACCCCGACGGGAACGACGTTTTTTACTCGTCGGCCTCCTCGCACTTGGCGCGTTGTTGTGTTTGGATTTACACAGCAAGCGTCGTGCGATCGCTCTTCCTCTACGCCAGGCGGAGGGGGGGGGCAAACAAAACAACAAGAAGAGCTATTTATGTTTCGAATTCGGTGGAAAAAAATGATTATCAAGATTTCAAAATCCGCAATGCGTATGGTGAATATGAGATGGTGGGTGCCTAATAAAGAACTGTCATGAAGACAGGGTCCTTGAAGAGACGCATGCGGCTCCGCAGCCACTGGTTGACGACCCCTGCCCTTGGTGCACTGAACTTCCATGGTGAACTGGACTTCCATGTTAAACTGGACTTGTGAACTGGACTTCCATGGTGAACTGGACTTGTGAACTGGACTTCCATAATAAACTGGACTTCCATGGTAAACTGGACTTCCATGGTGAACTGGACTTCCATGTTAAACTGGACTTGTGAACTGGACTTCCATGGTGAACTGGACTTGTGAACTGGACTTCCATAATAAACTGGACTTCCATGGTAAACTGAACTTCCATGGTGAACTGGACTTCCATGTTAAACTGGACTTGTGAACTGGACTTCCATGGTGATCTGGACTTGTGAACTGGACTTCCATAATAAACTGGACTTCCATGGTAAACTGGACTTCCATGGTGAACTGGACTTCCATGTTAAACTGGACTTGTGAACTGGACTTCCATGGTGAACTGGACTTGTGAACTGGACTTCCATAATAAACTGGACTTCCATGGTAAACTGAACTTCCATGGTGAACTGGACTTCCATGTTAAACTGGACTTGTGAACTGGACTTCCATAATAAACTGGACTTCCATGGTAAACTGGACTTCCATGGTAAACTGGACTTGTGAACTGGACTTCCATGGTGAACTGGACTTTCATGGTAAACTGAACTTCCATGGTAAACTGGACTTGTGAACTTGACTTCCATGGTAAACTGGACTTCCATGGTGAACTGGACTTCCATGGTAAACTGGACTTGTGAACTGGACTTCCATGGTAAACTGGACTTGTGAACTTGACTTCCATGGTGAACTGGACTTTCATGGTAAACTGAACTTCCATGGTAAACTGGACTTGTGAACTTGACTTCCATGGTAAACTGGACTACCATGGTAAACTGGACTTCCATGGTAAACTGGACTTGTGAACTTGACTTCCATGGTAAACTGGACTTCCATGGTGAACTGAACTTCCATGGTAAACTGGACTTGTGAACTGGACTTTCATGGTAAACTGGACTTCCATGGTAAACTGAACTTCCATGGTAAACTGGACTTGTGAACTTGACTTCCATGGTAAACTGGACTTCCATGGTAAACTGGACTTCCATGGTAAACTGGACTTCCATGGTGAACTGGAATTTTGAACTGGACTTCCATGGTGAACTGGACTTCCATGGTAAACTGGACTTCCATGGTAAACTGGACTTCCATGGTGAACTGAACTTCCATGGTAAACTGGACTTGTGAACTGGACTTCCATGGTGAACTGGACTTTCATGGTAAACTGGACTTCCATGGTAAACTGAACTTCCATGGTAAACTGGACTTGTGAACTTGACTTCCATGGTAAACTGGACTTCCATGGTAAACTGGACTTCCATGGTGAACTGGAATTTTGAACTGGACTTCCATGGTGAACTGGACTTCCATGGTAAACTGGACTTCCATGGTAAACTGGACTTCCATGGTGAACTGAACTTCCATGGTGAACTGGACTTCCATGGTAAACTGGACTTCCATGGTAAACTGGACTTCCATGGTGAACTGGAATTATGAACTGGACTTCCATGGTGAACTGGACTTCCATGGTAAACTGGACTTCCATGGTAAACTGGACTTCCATGGTGAACTGAACTTCCATGGTGAACTGGACTTCCATGGTAAACTGGACTTCCATGGTAAACTGGACTACCATGTTGAACAGAACTTATATGGCCAGGGGTCGGCAACCGAAATTAACAAGAAGAGCCATTTGTTTTTGTTTTGTTTCGAATTTCAAGAGCCGCACTCCATTCCTTAAAGAGCCGCGTGCGCCTCCCGTGCTGCAGCTTGCCGACCTCCCTGCTCCCGAAGCTGTCCAGAACCAGTGGGAGTGTTCACGCTGCAGAGGGACGGAGGCGGTCAGTCATAGCCAGAGGATAACAAAAGGACGGCCTGGAGTCTGAACTTGAACATGGGCGGTCGTTTTTCTGTGTGTTGTACCTGGGAGAAGAAGGCCATAACTTCATCGAAGGTTCAAACGCTTGGGTTAGGTGCACTTTGAGGCCACGTGAAATATATGTTGATGCGTGGTTGAACTTCTTTCGCACCGTACGTAGCCAACCGTGCTCATCGGAGGTGCCAACAGGTTTTTGAAATATCAAAGAGCTATTGGCAGGATATCTACAGGCCCATGTGTTGTGGGTTAACTGTGCGTCATACAAAGATCCACCGTATAGCCTTCAGCATACTGTTGGGGCAAGTGCTGTTATCAAGCGCACACACACAGTATGTGAAATCACAATGGGTTTTTTCTTCGCTGAAGGGGAAGGAAAAGTGGTGGTGGCTGGGGAGTGAGAGAGGCTGGTTATGGGGTGGTTTAGTTAATAAATACAAAGGACCTTGAAATTTCTGTTCAAATCGAAGGGAAGGAAGTCTGCCTTCCTGCGGCGAGGCTTGGCTGCTTGACACAATGACACCCACGTGCATTTCGTTTGGTTGCTGTGCCGTGTGACGAACGTTAGGTTTAAAAAAAACTACGAATGCAGGTTCTTTGTCAACCCACTGCTGGATGAATGCAATTGCCGCCGTGCCGTGTGGCTTTTATCGGGTCAACTTGAGCAGACTTCACCACAACGCTCGATTGCGGGTCGATGAAGAGACAACCGGGACCGGTTTCATGCCACCTTTGTCTCGCCTGTGTCGATATTTATACCTGGAGCATCACGGTAGCGAGATGTTACCTACCTCGCCTGGTGTGCAGGAGGTCGTGGGTTCCATCACGACCACGACGCCTGCTGTATATTTAGAGTATGCGGTATCGCTTTCTCCCCGTGGTCGCTTGAATTTTTTCTCCAGGTCCTTCGCTGTTTCCCTCCACGTTTAGGATCAAGATCACGCGTTTAGAGTATTTGGTTGCTTTAAACATCCACATGGTAAGCCGCTTCGTTGAGCTATCATTTGTGATAACCTGGTCGCTTAAAAAAAAAAGAGCTACATAGCTCAGTGGGCCTTACCGGGTAAAATCCGAATCCAGGGTGTTGACATCAACTTGCTGGGGCCATTCTCGGACACAGTGGAAATGCGCGCTCGCTAGCTGCAACAATTCCAAGGTAGAAATGTCCTCATCTGACAACACGACCACGATTCCTCTCTTGAGTGCACATCTGGAATATAACTGGGAATATAAGACAACAACAACAACAAAACACTACAAGACAAACCGATGTTGACATCGTCAAGGGATCAACATTCAATACCATCCGAGTTCGGTTCCCGCTCACGGACAACACCGGTGAGGATTATATTAATCAATCCAGGGCCTCCCCTAGGTCGACTCAGCCACAAATGAGCAACTGGTGCGGCGTGTAAAAATCATCGTCACTGAGGAGACAAAGGCGGTCGGGCGTAGTTCTGGGCATCCTGTACCGTGCCGGCATTCATAGATGCTCGCTAACAGCACTTGCCTCAACCGTCTATCTTTGCCTTTGTGTGTATGTATGTTGAATTTTTTCGCACCGTACGTAGCCAACCGCGGTGCTAATCGGAAGGTGCCGGCGAAGGACAAGAAACCGAACACAAAAGGCAGTTCTCAAGAAATGAGTTTTACGTAACTCTCTTCTCGAGAGAGGATGGAGACGATGACGCGCTTTGTGATAACAACCTCAACGAGTGCGGGGACCAATCTCGCCCCCTCCCTTCTTATCTCCACCCACCCCCCACCCTTCTCTCCCCCCCGGATCCATCTTCCATTCAGGCGACTTGAGACACATCGCAAACGAGACGCGCCCATTACCGCCAATGACGCTTCGTCCGCGACAATCAGGGCAAAGCGAATTCCTCGCGAAGGAACGCGAAGGGGGTTTGAATGGCGGTGGCGTGGCGGGGTGGGTAGGTGGAGAGTCGGCACGTGCACGCACGCACGCGCGCGCCCGAGCGAGCGCGCGTGCACGTGTGTGTTCGTGGAGTGGTGGCGCTGCGGTGAGCGCATCTCGCTATGAAACCAGCCAGCAGCGACCCGAGTTCAACTCCCGCTCACGACCGACGATGGTGACGGTCCTGGGCCCTCCCCTGCCTCTCCCCCGATGTGTGTGTGAATGTGTTTCTGAATGTGTGTGTGAATGTGTGTGTGTGAATGTGTGTGTGTGAATGTGTGTGTGTGAATGTGTGTGTGAATGTGTGTGTGTGAATGTGTGTGTGTGTGAATGTGTGTGTGTGAATGTGTGTGTGTCAATGTGTGTGTGAATGTGTGTGTGTGTGAATGTGTGTGTGTGTGAATGTGTGTGTGTGTGAATGTGTGTGTCAATATGTGTGTGAATGTGTGTGTGTGAATGTGTGTGTGTGAATGTGTGTGTGTGAATGTGTGTGTGTGTGAATGTGTGTGTCAATGTGTGTGTGTGAATGTGTGTGTGTGAATGTGTGTGTGTGAATGTGTGTGTGAATGTGTGTGTGTGAATGTGCGTGCAAAAACAACCCCCTACCTCCTCGTGGTGCCGGACGCCAACGCTGTGGTGGGCAGTGTCATGGGGGAGGGCCAATTTAGATGTTTGGCCTCTCCCTTCATGGCGTTTGTAACCACC